CATCCAAAAAAAAAAAAAATTTTTTTTTTTTTTGGTATTTTGAGACTGGGTATTTTTGTCAGCCCCAGAACTAGCTCTAAAACCAGGCTGACCTCAAATTCACAGAGATCCTCCTGCCTCTGCCTCCCGAGTGCTGGGATTAAAGGTGGAGCGCCAACACCGCCCACCCAGCTGAGGTTAGATCTTTTGGAAATGGAGTCACCATTTGGGCACTAGGAATCAAACTTGGATTCTTTGGACAGCAAGTGCTCTTCACTCCTGAGCCCTCTCTCCAGCCCCGCCCTGCCCCAAGTGCTGATATTAACAGGTGTGTGCTCGTATAGCCAACTCCACAAACTTTCCTACACACATAAAATTACTAAAACGATTATATTAACTACTTCCAGTCTGTGTGTATGGAAGTATATAGGAAGATTAAATTGATTTCATGCTTAGATTTAGGCTCTAGCAACAGTTATCTATCTTTTTATTGTATAACTACTCTAAAATAAAACAAAATACAAAATCAGAAACACTCCTGACTGGGGCCTTCCTCTCCCTCCTCTCTCCCTCCTTGTCTCTTTTCCAATGTTACATCCAGGTCCTCTAATATACTAAACAAATGTTCAACCATTTAACTATACTCCAATACTAACAGGAGCATTTTGTTATACCCACCTTCAACCTCCTGGAAGTGCTCAAAAAAAAAAAATGTGGGTTATTCCTAAGTGTACTTTCATTGATTTCAGTCTCTGAGACAGTGACAGGTCACAGATGCATACCCTGGCATTTAAGCATAGCCCAACACTCCCAACACACCTTGGAACACTGACGAAGGAGGTCCACTGACCACAACCATCCGCTCCACTAGGGATGGGAAGTAGATGGAGAAATCCCAGGCAAGGACAGCCCCCCAGTCGTGACTCACAAGGATGCATTTGGAGTACCCTGGAAGAGGGGAGTAGAATGATGGTGTAAGATGGTGAAGTAGGGGTGAGGGATAAGTGTGGGAGTGGGTCCCCGAAGGAGCAAAGATGAGGAGATGTGTGTACAGGATGGATGAGGCCTCTCCTGTTTTGCGTACCGAGGCCTAGAATGATGTCCTTGATATCAACCAACAGTAGGTCACGGGTGTAACAGTCCACATCCTTTGGAGCATCAGAGGGGCCATAACCACGCAGGTCTACAGCTACCACATGGAAACAGCTCTGGAACTCCCGCAGCTGGTAGCGCCAGGAGAACCTGCCCGGTGAGGGAGTTGGGAGTTGAGTCAGCCGTCTGCAGGATGCACCAACCCGGCAGATACCTTGGGCCACCCCATCTTTCTGCTCGGGACTTCTTAGAAAGGAAATGGGAGAATCCCAGGCAGAGAGGCCCAAGGCCACCTCATCTGCAACAACCCCTTTGTCCAATCTCTTCAGAGGGATAACCAGCCATCTGGACTTTATATGCTCTGCACCCCAGGACTCTTCAACCCTGTTGCTTCTCACTTCCTAGGTACATCATTGTCAGACCTCTACCTTTCCCCAGTCCAGCGGACACCAGGGCCCAGGGACCCAGACATACCAGTTCTCTGGGAAGCCATGCAGAAATAGCATAAGAGGCCCGTTACCACGACCAGCGGAAACGTAGTGCAGACGCAGGCCGGAACTCTGCGGGAGGGCCCAATCTCAGTGAGAGATGAGGTAGGTAAAGGAGCTTCCTCCCTAGGTGAACCCCCAAGATCGATTTGGATTCGATATTTCAACTCCCTTTCTTCATTCTGCATCCACCCCTCGAAACCTGCCTCAATGGGGCACTCACCCTCAGGGTCAGAAAGCAGTGCTCGCCCAGCGTGGGGTCTCTCAGGCAAGCTGGCGCCGTCAACCGCGGGCGGCCGCAGCAGCCCCGGCGGGGGTGGCACAGCACGTTGGTGAGCGCGATGCAGCTGTAGACAAACGCGGCCACCACTGCAGCCAGATACACCAGGCTCATCACCAAGGCGCGCAGCAGCTTCAGCGAGAGGCGTGAGGGCGCCAGCAGCGCGGTCACCACAAACTCCGGCATATCCTCGCGCTCCGGGACGACGGCAGAGCCGGGGTCGGAAGACTGAACCGGGGGTGCTGGCCTCGGGAGCTCACCGCCTTTGATTTGGGATCCCACTGTGCTTTCCGGCGCTGCGGGACCCGGGCAGAGACCGCCACCGCTCATGACTTAGTCCAAAGTGGCAGGTAAACTACCTGGGCCGGATGGGACACTTAAGTAAGGGATGGGGGTGGAGCTTGCGGGGACCTGGCTTCTGTAGTTGGGGAGGAGCTTTGGGAGAAACAGGGACCGTGGGCAGTGCCCTGGGACATCTTGGGTGGAGTTTAAGACAGAGACCGTGTTAGAGCCTAGAGACAGCTCAGCAGGTAAGGGCATTTGGCATCACGCCTGGACATCTAAGTTTGATCCCAGGCAACCACACAGTGGAAGTAGAGAACTGACTCTCACAAGTTGTCCTCTGTCCACACTAATGCAACAGCAGGTCAACCGTTGGTGCTTTAATCTCAGCGCTCGGGAAGCAGAAGCAGAAACAGACAGATCTCTGAGTTCGAGGCCAGCTGGTTTATTTAGCAAGTTCCAGACCAGGCAGGCTACGTACAAAAAATAAACAGCAACTGACAAGGCTCTAAGGAAAAGAGTTGAAACCTGGAGGAACAGAGGGAAAGGCCCCGTGAGATGGGTGGAGTTTTCAGCAAAGGGGCGTGGTATATTCAGGATGAGTGGACCCAATTTAGCCCAAAAGATGTGCAAGGCTGAGGGGCGTGGTTTATGAAGGTGGAAGCGGGAATTAGGCAGAGCCTGTTTTTGGATAAGACGGAGGCTGGGCTTGTTGGCTTGGGTAAAGTCCAGATCTGAGTTTGTTGTGGAGCTGAAGAGGGGCCAAAAACTGACATGAGAGCGGAACAAATCCCAAAGGGGAAGGCCAGACAACGCTATATAGCTGGGAGTAATAAGCAGGTGTGGGCAGTAGGAGTCTCGTTGTGTACTTCCCAAGCTAGAGGGCGCGATATTCCCCTTGACCTCGACCTTCCCGTTGGTCTAGAAGTGGTCCATCATCGCTTCCACCTGGTTCCAACCCTGCTGCGTCCTCTCCTCTCGTTGGCTTAGAAAGTCTGTCGATCCACCGCTACACTACTGTGATTGGACAACAGTGGCCATTGATTTCTAAACCACAGGTGAGGTCTAGGTACTAAATAGCCAGTATTGAGATCCAGACTCTGTAGGTGGCAGCCAACCCTGGGCAGACCCTGCCTCCCCGGAGAACAGACCCGACTTGGAGGCTGGACCTAGCCTGGGCAGATTACGTCACCGGGGATCAGGTTGAAAGAGGAAGCAGGGCAGTGCCTGGTATGATGGGGCATCACATCCAGTCGAGTCGTGTCTCAGCAAGAAGTCATCTTCTTTTGCAACCTTTCCCAAGATCCTTGACTATTTTAGGGACGCCCATTATTTAACCCTTATAGTAACCCCGGTACATGTAGGCAGCATTATCATCATCTCACATTGCAGATTATGAACCTGAAATTCAGGGATGAGGTCATTTTGCCTGAAGTCATATATCTGACTTAGCAGCAATTCAGGACAACATAGAAGCAGCAATCTGTGCTTCATCCAACACTGAGGCTGCTGGCAAGCTTCCCAATTTCTTTTGGCGGTTATTTAGGTATCCAGAAAATAATTAGGTATTTAGAGAGCTGTACTTCCATAGAGGCTTCTATTACTGTGGTAATAGTGACTGAGACTAGAGCTTTGCATATGCAGGTAAGCATTTCAGCCAGGAGCTTCACCCTTAGCCTTAAAAACATTGACTGCTGAGTATTACTCAGCCCTTAAAAAAAATTGCAGGCCTGAAATTTGTAGGCAAATGAACTGAACCAGGAAAAAAGAAATCATCCTGAGGTGATTTCCATACCTAGAAAAATAATTATGGTATGAATTTGCTTAAATGTGGGTATCAGCCATTAAATAAATGATAACCAACCAATAATCCATAAACCCAGAGAGATTGGGTATAGAAGTAGAAGGACACACGGATCTCCCTAGGAGGTATTTTAGAATAGATTTTACGTGGGGACATGTGGGGATTGGAATATGAGGATCAGGTGGGGAGGAAAAAGTGTTGAGAGAGGGAATGGGGCAGCGGACAGCTGGAATTGAGGAGCATTTGAAGGATGGTATGGAAACCCAGTAAAGTGGAAACTTCCTAAAATATATGAAGGTAATACTAAGGAGGACTCCTAATAATGGGAGATACAGAGTTCCAACTGGCCATCTCTTGTCACCAAATGAGGTTTCCAGTACAAGGACTAGGTTGCATTCAATTGAGTTCTTGGCCAAGGTAATCCCTGAAGAATCCAGGCTGTTGGTAAAACAACGGGTTGCTCTCTGCAAATTAACAGTGAGGCCCCATTGCAGAGGATAACAGCCATACAAAACATTGAACATGGAGAAGTGGAGGGTTACTGTAGTTTCTTGTCCTGCCAGGTCCCACCACACTCTTTTCAGTCCCAAATAAACACAGATACACTACATGAATTATAAAGTGTTGGCCGATGGCTAGGGCTTCTTACTGGCTAGCTCTGTCTTAATTATTAACCCATAACGCATTTCAGCCAGGAGCTTCACCTTAGTCTTAAAAACATTGACTGCTGAGTATTTCTACATGGCCTTATCTTAGCTGAGAATGCCTGGTGTGTCCTATCCTCCTGGTCCCTCCATGGCGGCCCTCTCTGCCTATCTTTCCCAGAATTCTTCTAGTCCTGCCTATCTTCCTGCCTGGCCAATCAGTGTTTTATTCATCAACCAATAAGAGAAACATAAATACAGCAGGATGTCCCCCACCAGTGGAGCTGGTGCCTACTGAAGCCTTCACCCCTATGTTCTAGTGTATTTGGTGTGGGAAGGTACTCTGCAGGCGACCAAAAAAGGAAACGTAAGCACCAGCCCAGACACAAAACCTTTGATCTACAATCTGTTGTCTCGTCTGTAAGACATGCTAGGGCAAATGGTGGCACAGAACTTGTGGTCTGGTTTGACTTAAAGCCCACTCCATGAAACAGAACCCACACCCAGCACTGCTTGGGTAACAAAGAACCAGAGACTAGATACCCTATAGACCTAGGGTAAAACCAAACACTACTGGACAAAGAAAAAAAAAAAAAAGACTCCTACTGATATTCTGCTCTACTCATAGATCAATGCCCTCTTCAGTTATCATCAGAGAAGTTTCCCCCTACAGCTCATGGGAACAGATGCAGAGACCCACAGTCAGACATTATATGGGGAGAGTTCTTGAAACATTCAGCCCTAAATGGGAGGTCTCTATCAAATTCCTCCCCTCAGAGCTCATGGAACCCCAAGGAAGAGGAGGTGGAGAGTCTAAGAGCCAGAAGGGACAAAGGACACCAGAACAAGGCCCTCTGAATCAACTAAGCAAGGTCCTCTGGATACACACGCGCACACACACACACACACACACACACACACACACACACACACACACACACACACACACACAATCTCAGCCTAGTATTTTTATTTTATTTGTGTGGACAACTGGATTTGTTTATTTTTGAACCTGTGTAGCCCTGGCTGTCACAGAACTTCCTTTGTAGACCAGGCTGGCCTTGAACTAATGTTCACCTGCCTCTACCTCCCGAGTGCTAGGATTAGAGGCATGCACCATCACAGCCCAGCTGAGTCTCTAATTCTTGTGCCTGCTCTTGGGGATCCTTTCCTTCTGTTGGGTTGCCTTGTCCAGCCTAAATCTTTTAGAAACCTGTTCTTTCCTAATGAGAGACAGAAAGGAAGTGGATCCAGAGAGGGGAGGTGGGAAGAAACTGGGAGTAGAGGAAGGAAAACTATAATCAGGAACCCCCTGTTTATTGAAAAACTATTTTCAATAAAGTGGGGATGGTAAAATCATTGATCACTGCTATTTACTCTTGGTTTTTTCAGACTGACTCTTGCAACTATGTATCTTAGGATGGCCTGCAACTGGCCTCCCCTTCTGGTTTGATGGATTACAGACATAGATCAACTGTATCCAATTTTTGAGACAAGAGCTTATAAACCACTTAGAATCCACTTGTGCTTCTCAGCCTCCTGAGAAGCTACTAATGCCTGGCCCAGTGGCTAGCTCTTTGAGACAGGGTCTCATGCACCCTAGAGCTGGTTGCAAACCCTCTATGTCGTAAATGATCAGGAACTTCTGATGCTCCTGCTTTCGTTCCCAAGTGGTACAATTACAGGGATGCATCACCATCTGTTTTGTGTGATGCTGCAATTGAACCCAGAGCCTCTTGCATGCTACACAAGCATGCTACCAGCTGGGCCATGTAAGTGGCCAATTATACATTCACCATCTTGGAACATTATCTACCAAGTCACTCTTATACCACTTATTGGACATAGTTCACTCATATACTACTCATCTCTTGCCTCATTTCCCACTGTTATATGCCTTTTCATTATCAAACAATATACTAAACATTTATTCTGCCCAAGGACAATAATTAAATCCATGGCAAATGGCCATTAATTGTTTGGCCTCCGTAAACAATGCATTTGAGCAGAATTACACTGCCTGTATTGTCCGTAGGCATCTAATAGCTTCTGTTCGTTGAACTCTACAATCTTGTTTGGAAACCCCAATTTACCTCCATTTTCCAATTCTACCCTCAAAAAGACATCAGTAATCACAGGAGGGTAACTTTATATTCAGTACAAATGTTTATTTTTGCAATGAGAACTGCACAAAAAAAAACCCTTTAGTATATAAGTGAAAAGTCTACGAATTCCCTTCTACAAATGTCTAAAGTATTTTAATACAAGATTTCACTGACATAATTATTGGCCAAGCGACCCGTGCATACAGTACAGTGGGGGCTTGTACACACCTCTTATTCTTGTATAGGACTAAGATGTCTAGCACTGCAGGAAGGATTTGAAAATGGTCAGATATTAAATAAATCCCAGTTCTAATTATAACCCAGTTAGAGAAACACCCATCAGGAAGGTGTGGAGGCCATTTAAAACTTGAGCCAGGTACAATTGAAATCATTTCCCCAGCTCAAAACTGGGCCCAGCATGGGGGAAACCTGAACAAGGAAGAAAACATGAGTGAGATGTGGTAGAAGAAACCTCAGAGGACCAAAATGCCATCATTCCTGCACAGTAGTATCTGAAATGCCTAGAGGGGACACGATCTTAAGGACAGAGAGGTGAACACTGGGTGGGTACCCTAATCATAAACTTCACTGTGAGGTTTGGCCTTTCTGGTTGAGGGTGGAGATACAGCTCACCTTGTCTCTGCATACATATACAATTATCTTACATCTTAGGGACTCTTCTTGGGTGCCACCCATGCCTTGTAGCTGGGGCATATGTGAACAGGTGGGGTACAAGGCAGGGAAGTCATCTGGGGCCTTTCTCAGCAGAAATGTGTTCGTAGGTGGGGATACAGAGATCCTATTGGGAAGGAATGTACACTTACCTAAGAGTTTCTGGTTAACCCTGAGCTTAAATCAAATTAGGAGTTAGGTAGAGGCAAGCATGGTGGGAAATGTGGCCCAGAGCCTTGTGTAAAGAGGGGATGATCCGGATGGAGGAGGGCCATCAGTAAGAGAATGGTCTGGATATTGGTCAAAGTTTCACTACCAAGTTCAGGTTTCTGGCTCCCTTTACAGCTTCAGCTTGGTGGGGACTCTGAGCCCAAGCAGCTTTTGCGCCAGTGGAGAGGGGCTCAGTGGCCACTATTGGTAAATCTTATTTATGCAAAGGGACCTGGGCACCTGGGCCTAGCCTAAACAAACTAGAAAACCTAGTTGGTTCACAAAGAAATGTCAGGGAGACACCAGCATTAAAAAAGAGAGATGTGTTTATTCCATGATCAGTACAGACCAAATGCATATTCACCATATGAAAGTCAAGCCAGTCAGTGACTCCAGATTTTGGCCAACATTGAGGCACCAGCACTGTGGTGTAGAGTGGGTTCTCATGGCACGCACGTGTAACCTCACCAAGGGCTCCATTAAAAAAAAAAAAAAGAAAAGAAAAAAAAAAAAAAAAAAAAAAAGACGGGGAGGTGCAGCCCACTGGTCTAACCAGGTGCTGGATAGGGAGCTTCTGCCTCAGTCTGCAGCCCCCCAGTGCCTGGGACCCACCTCATCCCCAGGCTCTCCCTTTCTTGGTAAAAAACAAACAGATTGACATTTAAAAAACAAAGAAGCCAAACAAATAGGAGGGGAAGGAAAAAGAAATTGCAGCTTTCTGGTTTTATAATTAAAAATAAGACTAATAAAGTTTGAAACTGAATACAAGCAGGATTTTTTGTTTTGTACGAGATTTTTTTTTCTTTTTTTTTTTGTGGATTTTGTTTTTGTTTTTTTTTTTTTTTTTTTTTTTTTTTTTTAACCC